ATGACCAGACCGAAGTTCTCGCAGGCGGCGGAGAACAGGTCCATGCTCCGTTGCATCTCCTCTTCCGAGGTGGTGTTCAGGGCGCAGTCGTCGGCGAAGAGGAGTTCGTGCACGGTAGTTGTGGATACGCGCGATTGGAAGTGCATTCGCCGTGGATTCAGGAGGTGACCGTCCGTCCTGTAGGCGATGCGAATCCCGGGCGTTCGTCGCGGTACGCGTCCATCAGCATGGCAGAGAACATAAGACTGAAGAGGGTAGGCGCCAGTACGCAGCCCTGCTTCACTCCATTGGTCACTGCGAATGCCTCTGAGACAGCTCCGTTGTCCGTGACTCGCGCCATCATACCGTCGTGCAGCTGACGCACCATCTGAGTGAATCGCTCCGGACAGCCGAATTTCTGCATAATCTTCCACAGTCCTTCCCGATTCACCGTGTCGAAGGCTTTCGTCAGGTCCACGGAGGTAGAGTACAGGTGGGTCCGCATCTCCTGACACTTCTCCTGAAGTTGACGGGCGGCGAAGATCATATCCGTGGTCCCACGATGACGACGGAAGCCGCACTGGCTTTCCGGCAGAAGGCCCTGTTCCAGATGGTTATTGAGGCGGTTGAGAAGGATGCGGGCGAAGATCTTCCCGGCGATGTTCAGCAGGGATATGCCGCGGTAATTGTCGCAGACTTGGCGATTCCCTTTGCGCTTGTAGAGATGCACGATGGTTGCGTCTTTGAAATCTTGCGGGACTTCACCTTGACGCCACATCTCTTGGAAAAGCGCAGTCAGGTGATCCATCAGTTGGGGACCTCCGTGCTTGTAGACCTCAGCAGGGATTGCGTCCGATCCGGGTGCTTTCCCGCTGGAGAGCTGCTGCACGGCCCTGATGGTTTCCTGGAGAGATGGCGGGAGGTCGAGCTCCACGTTGGTCTACACTTACGGCAAACGCTCGATGGCGGCGTCGGAGATGACGGAAGGGCGGTTGAGGACGCCTCGGAAATGCTCGGCCCATCGCTGCAGGATTTGCGTCTTCTCAGTCAGGAGAGTGTTGCCGTCGGCGCTGAGGAGAGGAGCAGTGCCCTTCGTCGCCGGACCGTAGACAGCTTTGATCGCAGAGAAGAAGTTCTTCCATTCGTTGCGGTCCGCGTACCCTTGGATCTCCTCAGCTTTGCGAGCGGTCCAGGCGTCCTGCATCTTGCGCAGTCGTTGTTGAAGTTGGCGGCGACTGCGGTAGAAGGCAGCTTTGGTGGCATCAGTGGGATGATCTACGTAGACTTTGTGTAGGCGGTTCTTCTCAGCTAGCAGATTTCTGATGACGGCGTCGTTGTCGTCGAACCAGTCCTGGTGTTGGCGGGGAGCGCGACCGAGGACAGCGAGCGGCGTCGACTGGACCGTGTCTCGCAGTTGACACCAGCGTTTCTCCACGGAGGCGTTCTCGGCAGCGGCGGCATCGGCGATGGGGGGGTTGTCTAACCGTTGAGCTAACTCATTGCTGAAATGAAGATGGTGAGCGGGCAAAGACAACAAGGCAACATTCAGCTTACCTGGGGGTCGCTTACCTTGTGGTCTTCTGCGAGGCTGTAGGCGAATACGCATCTTCGAGATGACGAGGCGATGGTCAGTCCACCCGTCAGCACCCGCGATCGCTTTCGTCACCAGCACGTCCCGCTGATCTCGCCTCCGGACGAGGACATAGTCCAGCAGGTGCCACTGGCGCGACCGAGGATGCCTCCAGGTGGCCTTCTCTCGCTCCGGCAGACAGAAGAACGTGTTCGTCAGGATGAGGCGGTGTTCTGCGCAGGTGCGTAGAAGCAGCACACCATTGTCGTTTGAGCCGCGGAGACCGTGAGGACCCAGCACTCCTCTCCAGGCAGTATGGTCTGTGCCGACGCGGGCGTTGAAGTCACCAAGGACAATTAACTTGTCCGCCTTCGACACAGTCGCCAAGAGGGCGTGCAGGTCCTCGTAGAATTTGTCTCTGAGGGCGTCGGGGTTGGTCATCGTCGGAGCGTAGGCGCTGATGATGGTGGCGAATTTGCCTCCCCAGAGAGGCAGGCGGA